AAAACAGGCTCCCAGGGCTCAGCCTGGGGCCTGGCGAGGCTTTTGGCGGTCTGCTACGTTTTGAGAGGGACAAGTGTGTGAAGGTGTCAGCCTACCACTGAGTTCAGGTTGCTGACTGTGGTTTGTGACATACTTAATTGCACCCCAAATTAATTATTTAAGAGTGCTGTTTGAAATAGTGCTATTGGTCGTGCTCAGTTGCAGTTGGGATAGCTCGTTCGTGGTGGACTTGGTTACAGTATGTGTTCAAAGACTTTGTTAAGCTTTCTTTCAAGGTCATTTTCATTTAGTTTCTTTAACATAACCTTGTAAGAGAGCCTTCTCATAATTAAAATAGTTACCATTGTATATTGACTTTTGGAAAGCAGGTGCTAGAAATTCATGTTGGCAAAGTCTAGTATAGTGTTTTCCCTCAGATAATGGCTTTGCCAAATCAGAAGTTGGTTGTCTTTTTAGAGCTTCACCATACAATGCTTCAGAGCCTTTACTTGTGATTTACTCCCAGTACTGAAGAACAAGTGAATATAGCTTACGCTTTAATGTAGCTATGACTTTTTAAAGTAGTTCAGCAAGATCTCTTGAGTTCAACAGACTCAGCAGTTTATTTGTGGCAACTCTTCCTGCTTGTCAGTGAACTCCTATAGGACGGAACCTTTATCTATTTATTTATTTTTCATATTTTTAATAACTTATTTTTAATAGGGTCTGTTGTTGATATCTTTAACACTGAAAGTATTTTACTGTTTACTGTGCAAATTACAGAAATAGTGGAGAATTATTCTTCCAAAATTGGTATTTAAGTATAACTTCAAAACTTGACTGGAAAATAGTAAAATGCTTAATTAGTGTGTATGTGTGCATGAACTAATTTTTAAATCCATGCTTTTGTAGTTACCTGGTATACAACCATATTAACACCTTTTGTGCCACTCTGATGTGAACGTTTATATGATGGCCCAACCACTCCGCGTGAAGAACAAAGGTAATAAACTTTCAGATGAAGGTTTAAGCAGCAGAATCGCAGCTGCCAACTTCCTGTCAAAAAGCCCCCAGTTTGGAGGCAGGACTTCTGAATTATCTAACAGAACATCAGTGTTCTGTGAACAAACTGAACAGTTCTTTGCCAGTCTAAAACAGTGCAGAAGGTGCTAGCTTCAGCTGCAACGCTAGCACCTTCTACCGACCCGTAGTGGTCGGCTGCGATAAAAAGAGACAAGGTCAACGGTGGGAAGAGGTGTTTAACTTTGTTTTTCTGTAGCTGTAAATATACTTGATTATTGATAAAGATGATCGCTATGGTTATGGCTTATAAATACAGCTAACGCATTATCCAGGCTTGTGTGGGCTGGAATGCCTTAGATAATTGAAAAACCTGGATAACTGAATCCTGGGAATTCAGTGCAGGTACATGCAGTAGGAGTTGGAGTTGCTTCAGTAATGTCTCTTGCCTTCAGCATTGTCTCAGTGCTGTCTGGTTCATGGTCTCCGTTACTCTTAACGAAAAGAACTTGGTTGTGGGAGATTTGAGATAGCCTGGTATGTAGCTATCTTGGGTCTGGAGGATTCATTGAACTTGGTTGCGTTTTGGGCAAAAGAGTAATTAATCTGCTTCAAGGCCTGAAAAAAAGCCATATAAGCTGTATGGCTATGTTGGCTCAGAGGAGAATTTGGACTACTAAGCCTGTCGGACTAGAACAAACCCAGAGTGGCATATGTAGTCCGACTACAAAAAAATAATTGTAGGAAAAGAAATTGCTCGTTTGTTTGTTTGTTTTTTTGAAAGTGGTTCCTGATATGTCAGTAGGCAGACTTACCTGAAAGCTTGCATGACTTTATAAAAGTGTTTGGCTAAAGAATAAGGTCACTGGAAAGACCACATTGCTTGTAAGAGAGTCTGATTTTTTTTTTTTTTAAATGAGCACCTTAACTTGTTTTAAAATACTTTGTTTCTGAATGTTTGTTGATGTGACAAAAATGTATGTAAATATAAGCTGAACATAGACCACATGTTCAACAATACTGAAAAATAGAAAAGGCTACCTTGTACTGTATCTATTGTACAGTTGTCTGTCCTGAGTTTTCTCCCTATGGATGTTGGAAATTGTGCAGGTGTATATAATTTTTTAATTTCACACTGAACAACTTTAATTGGAACAAATTTGTGGATAGGGATTAACCCCATCTATTGAGGGACAGGCACAGAGCGGTGAAACTGTAGCTCTAATGTTATCACCGGCGGTAAGATTTGAATCCGTGTAGTATCAGAGTAGTAACAAGAAGTGAATGTGATAGCAAAATAATAGGAATAGATAAATGATTCATATTTAACTGCAAATATTCCCTAACACAGGCATGTATTAGTGTTGTTGAATCAGATCACTTTTCAAATACTTCAAATACTTTCAACAGGAAATTCAGTGGAAAGCGTCACTCGTAGAAGGAACTTGCTGTTGACAGCTGCAACTGATGAAGGAAACACTGTGAGTTATTGCACTTTATAATTGCCCCTAATAATCTGGTAGCAGAAGTGATCAGCATATATTGCTATTGCTAGAACTTTGAAATTTTCACTCTGTTTGTGTTGCCACACTGGTATATTAGTATATTTCTTTCCTTGGGGAGGGCTGCATTTTCTGGTAAGAATCACCTGAGCTGTTTCTCTTACAGGTATCTCATTCTCATATGATTCAGGAGAAGCCAAAGAAGTTGCAATATTCCTCTGAGAATGTTTTCTCTATTGGCTATGATCAGAGTCTCTTTAGTTCATTAATATCCCCCCCTCAAAAGATGACTTGCCATCATTGTGGTCTATTTGGTAAGCTTCTTTTATCCTATAGTCTGTGATACGGAGTATATTTACTAATGAAACTGGATCAGAACAATTGCTCAGAAAGATACCTTCTAGACTCTTGCCCTAAAAGAGGCATGTATTTTATCATCTCTCAGATGCGAGTATAGCAACGATTTAGAACATAGTTGGAGTTACAGAATCGATGAACAGAAGATAATCTCCTGCGTCACTGAACGTTACCTTTTTCAGTTTTAAATATAGAAGGAACTTTGGTCAACTGGGGCAGCAGTGTCTGATAGATAGCTGCAGATGAATAAAAACACCTGTGTGCATGCGTTTAGAAACCTTCTTGTAACGTAATCATTAAATAATACCTGGGGTTTGTAACTTAACAGCTGTCTTCTCTTCTGACATATGTTTCTCTCTGAATTCATGTTTTTTAGGATCTCTGAGATGTTCACAATGTAAGCAGATATGCTATTGTTCTACAGACTGCCAGAAGAAAGATTGGCAAACGCATGGTGTTGTATGCAAGCCAATTAAGCAGGAGTAAGTTTGTTAAAAGTTCTGCCAAATAGCATTTACAGGAAGATGGTATTACTGCTAATATAACTTAAATTACAAATTAAATGCAATATTACAGTAAAACATTGCTTATTCTTAGGTTAGTTTTGTATTATCTGATACTTGTTAGAAAGCTCAGCTCTCCTCTGTTAGAAGGATGACTTGAAAGATATTATTGGGCTTATTAGGGTATTCTATAAAGCGGTTTTGCAGTTGGCGTAAGTCAAAATAAATGGTTCTGCTTTGTGTCAGTATTCCGAATTGTAAGAGTAAGAATACCAGCTCACTGCATGACTTTGCTATGGCTCTTGAAGATGTAGGGAAGGGAAGAGAAATGAGATGATGAGTGTCCCAGTTAATGCATTGCCTTAAACAGGCTCTGAAAGGCACCCTCTGAGTCCAAATGTGGTCTTGGTGAACTTTATCCATGTTTTCTCTTTGGTCAGCACAGCTGCAATTAGAAGAAGTTCTCTCAGCCAGGTCATTGTCTAGCTGCTCATTATCATGCTTTGACCTGCCAGCTGAGATGCTTTGGGAATGATCTGAGTGTCTAAGCTGGCAACCTCTAGCAAGGGATGGTGATAGCAATCTGAGGAAATAGTATATTGCTCAGCAAATTTGCAGGCAGGTGCCCATAATCAAAGTTTGCAAGAGAAGACCCTTATTTTTCCCCTAAGTTTTGCTACAGTAGGTGAATCTGACCTTTTTTTTTTTTTTATTTAAATCAAGCTGGCGTATGTTATTTCAATTTTACGTATGTTTTCAACTCAAATAAAAAAAGATCTTTTTTATGCTTTTGCAGTTTTGAAGGCTTGCTTGGGATTACAGTGTTAGAACTCCACAAAAACAGTATGAGATTACTTCTCCGATTTAATCATATTTAAATTAGCTGTTGCTATATTTTAGGTTTTGGCGGGGTCGGGAAAAGTATATCAGGTGTTCAGTGGCAGGGGGCTAACAAATCTGTTGTTTCCCTTTGTCTTGGAAGAATAAGGGTCGATATGAACCACATACTATGAACACAAGGCTTTTTGCTTTATTTGCAGATAGGTGTTACTGATGTTTCTTGTCTGTCTCTGATTCTTCAAAATAAACACTTTTTTCTTTGATTACAGTGTAAGCAGTAACAATGGAGGCAAGCTACCTGCTAAAGCCAAGAGGAGAGTTTATCTTAAGGTATAGAATATGGTTTTAATGAGTTCTGTGTCTTGAATGAGCCTGCTGTGAGCTCGTTACAATATGTTTAGTTTAAGCTATATGAAAGGAACAAATTCCAAAGTAGGTCTTTTACTCCTTTTGGAAAGACTTAGTGCTTCAAATCAAGAGTTACTGGAGAAACACTGAAAAAATATGTTCCTGCTTAAAGCTCTTAGCAAAACTGTGACAAAACTCCATTTTTTGCTGAGAAAAGTGTTTGTGACAAGTTAAAAATCGAGACATGTATGATCGCTGTTAGGGAAATATTTTGGGAAGGGTACAAGCTTAGCTTGTTCAATTCAGAAAAAATTTAATGGCTGTCTTTTTTTCCCTGCCCAGATCACAAGCTGACTCTGGGACCCGTGTAAAACATACTAGAAATACGTTTAATGCAGTATTGTATATTAACAGATAAAGATAAAATCTTATTTCCTTAATGTAGCAGAAATAAAACATGATGCAGTTTTCCTTTCTAACAGTTTATAGCCTCCCTCGGTCTCAGTATTAGCCAAACAGTTCTTCCTGTAGTCTTCCTATGAGCTGTTCCACAGGAGATCATTTTGCTGTCATCTTGGTGTCCTGAGATCATATTTATGGAAGCAACTAAATATACATACCTCCGATTAGCCCCATGCTTGCACTGTACAACAAAACTTCCCTGTCATACACTTTGAAGTAGCTCATTCATCTATTTGACTTTCTGAAGGAATTTAGAAAGGAGACTTTGTCTTAGGTTATGACGCTTCTCTTAGTTCGTCCTGATAGCTTTCTGCTATGTATGTTTGTGTCTGTGTGTTTTAGTAAAACTAACTTTATCCCCCTTTTCTGTTTATATACAGCGCTTCGGCTGTTAGCTATAGTAGCCTTACTGTTGAAGAACTTAATTGTAGTACCTATTCCTTGTATACAAGGGTATTCAGTTGAATAAAAATGCCAATAATTAACTGATGGCAGGGGCCTTTGTGTGAAGAGGAAATACTGTATGAGTAAACAGTTTGTATTTTGAAATAATGAAAGGTGTTTTATTTCTCCCTGGTTCTTTTTCTGGATCTCAAGTGAGTTGGCGGGGGGAAGGGGGTAAGATAGCTCATCATTGTATGTTGAGGAATTTTTAATGTATTTTGCTATTGTACCGTCAGATGCATTTTTATTAGTAGGATATTTACCGGTAAACAAACAAGTTGGTAAATGCAGCACAAAACTGTCACCGTGCATTTTTTGAAGTATGTTGATCCAAATGATCATTAGAGAAAGAGACTCTCTGTAATGATATGTATGAGAGATTATTTTTCCGATGTTTTTTGGGGGTGTTATAGACACAGATGCTATGCATTAGGTAGGTTAGACTAAATCTTAACTTTTCCATTAAGAATATGCTCTCTGTTAAAGCAGTGGCAGCTGTTATGTACACTAGTAACTGTGCTGTTAATGCTACAAGACGGCAAGTGGAATTCAGTTCCACTTACTTACAAGAACATCATAAGCAGGAAGTAGTCTGAATTTGTCAGTGCTGTTCAAGCAGATATGAAAGGAACAGGTGAATTTGTGCCTCTTTCTGCTGCCATTGTGTGAGAATGCTTCAGCCCTTCTGATTTTTTTCGCTGTCTGCTTGCTCTATCGCTGCGCTAATGTTTTAAGGGTTATATTTTGAGATTAATAAGGAGTTTTTAAGACTTATCTTGTTGAAAGTCAACAAAAGCACTTCCATAAATGTTATTTGAGATGCTAAAGGTTATTCTTTCTTTCTTTCTTTCTTTATTATTACAAGAGGATTTATCTGAACAACTTCAATTTAAACATAACTTTCAGCTGTTTTAAATAGGGTAATTCAGGGCCTGTGGATTCTGTCAAGATAGAAGAGCAGATCAAGAAAATAATGCTTTCGGATCTCCAAACTCTAGGGCTCAAAAAAGCTATGGAAATAAAGGTACTTTTACTTTGAGAGAATACTAAGATGCTTTATTAGAGCGCATTTGAGGTTTTGCTGAGCATATCTATCTGCATATGTCACTTCAGCTCTTTGCCTGAGTTTACTTGTTTGTTAATTATTTTTTTTTTTTTTAGTTAGAAGATGAGTAAATGCAATGGGGGAATAGGGAAGAAAGATGTTTCTGTGAAAGTGAATGTCACTGGTATTTGTTCTCTACAGTTATTACTGCTAGATGAGGAAATGGAATCAACTGTAGGGTGAAATGCATTTATTAAAATGCACCCTGTTCCTGGATGATATACTGTATGTTGCTGTTGCATAATTCTCATGTACTATGGCTTTTCTCTTTAGGGTATAGTAACAGAGTTCAGGAATCCGTGTGAATTTTATGTCCAGATAAGTTCTCCAGAGGTTTTAGACCACATCAATAAAATTTCTGTGAAACTGCAAGACTGTTATGCTAATATGGTTATTCAAGAGGAGTATATTCCTATCAAAGGAGAAGTCTGCGTTGCAAAATATTCTTTAGATCAGGTAACAACTTACTGTCTCTAAAATGACAATTCTATGTTGAGCCTATTGAACTGCCATGTTTTGCTTTTGTGCCTCTACCAGTGAAATTAGAGACCCACTTATGATGGAGTTTGGAAAAAAAAAATAATGAACTTTGTAGTATTTGGAACACAAGTTAAAGACACTGAAGTTTTTCTCTAAAAACTTTACTTCTATGTGTTTTCAAGTACTTGGACCATGTGGGAGTGGTCTGTCCTACAGCTGTTTGAAGGCTCTGTGGTTTTAGTAAATTTATATTACTGCAGTTGAAAGAGTTTGAAATATGATTCTGCTTATTTAAGAAAGTTATTCTTACTCCATTTCTCACCTGATGTTTCTGATTGCATTTCCATAGTCACCTGTAGTAAGACTGTTCCCATTTCCCTTCCCATCAACGTTTTTTGTATTCCTCCCCCTTCTTTCTTCTCTGTTATAAGCAGATTCTTGATTGCCTGATCAGTAGAAGTATTCTGTCTTCACTGCAGGTAACACTGCACTGAGCTGTGTTCACTTGAGTTGCTTCAGTATTGATCCGTTGTCTTTTCTTAAAAGATCCGTTGTCTTTTCTTTATTCTACCTGGTGGAATAAAATAAATTTTGAAGTATGCGTTTTAATCAGGAACGTAGTAAATAGTGTTTCACTAAGTTTTGCTCTTGCTGAACAGAGTATCATTTATTTCTATACAGACCTGGAATAGAGCACTGGTAAAAGATGTGGATGTGTTGCAAAAGAAAGCCCAAATATTCTACATTGATTATGGTAATGAAGAAGATATTTCACTCTCCAGGATCAAAGCGCTCCACAAAGACATTGAACGGTTTCCTCCATGTGTGAGTTTTATTTTCCTGATGATAGTTGTGATATTTTAAATGAATAGCTCTCAAAATGAGCGTAACTCATGTATCAGTGTTACTGTCATTATCACAGTGTTTTATGTGTTCAGTGAAAGTGATGCATGAGAACTGCTATCCCGTGGTAAGATCAATTTTCTGAAATGTTTCCCACAAGTGAAAGACCTGTCTCTTTTTTTTTCTTCCTCGTCCCAGAATCCTTGGATTCTGTGCTGGTGAAATAACTGCAGGACAAGTTGGGCCCACGTTTCGCTATTATTTTAGAGAGCAACAGGGGAAACATCCTACCCGAGTACTCTGATCTGCTCTAATACAGTGGTGAAAAATCATTTGTGGTTTGGGCAAACCTTTTCTGGGGTGAAGGAAGCAGCTATTGATCTGAGTTGTAAGACTGTTGTGGTAGTTGTTTGTCATCCAACTGAGTTCATTGCTGTGCTGTGCGAATGTTGTTCATTTCAAAATAAATGTTCTAACTTAATCTGCAAGTTAAACTAGTATGTTTGATTTTACACGTAGAAGAATAGGGAAGTTTTCTTTAAACTAGAGACAGTCTTGAGTAGCAGCTATTGGAACAGTTTTTCAGAACAAGTTTATACTGTCTTCTGCTGGATCCATAAAGGGTTTTGAGAGCCTTTGAAACTTTGCGTAAAACCATCCACATCAGTTGAGGACAACTTAGGGTATATGCCTCTGCTCAGACGTAGGCTGAAGTGTGATAGAGCCATGGTTTTGTGAGACAGTATATATAGTGGGAGAATCAAAGGGGAAAGGTAGTTGAAAATTTGAACATAATGTCCTAGTTCTTAACTGTGTTTCGTAAACAAATTATTTGAATTAACAGTGTTTCAAGTTCTAACGGCAGCTTTTACTTTTATATGCCAGATAATATTTTTGAGGGCCTAATTTGTTTAGCCCCCTTTTTTAAAAAGGGTCAAGTAAACAAAAAAAAAAAGCCTATTCTAACAATAATTCTTTCTAGGCCATTAAGTGTTCCCTTGCTAATTATGATCCAACACAAGAAGGATGGAATGGAGGCATCACCAGCTTTGCTCCGCAGTTCATGGGAAAGCACTGTTCAGTAACTGTTGTTGACATACTACAGGAAGACATGATGCTGAGTTTTGCTGTAGATGTTGTTCTTCCAGAATCTGGTAAGGCAGATTTGATAATACGGGAAAAAAACACGACTGACAAGTCTTCCATGTTCTCTCTTTCTCTCCTCGCCTAATACTGTTAAAAGAAACGTTTTATCTGCTCCCTCCTTCTACCTTCCCCCCCCCTTCTTCCTCCCCCCCCCCCCCGATTTTTTTTTTTTTTTAAGTCCTAAGTTTTACCTTTAATAAGGAAGTCACTTTAAAAGATCTGTGCCTGAAATATCTTATCTCATGCTTAATAACCTTAAAACATTTTTTTAAGCTTACCTCTTCAGTTGAATCTTACAAACAAGAAAATTCAGAAAAAGTGAACTGGTTATATCTGCTTTAATGTGATGCCCATGGATATGGGCTCACTTTCTTCTCTCTCTCATGCATTTCTGACTCTTAAAAATGATAGTATCAGTTTCTAGCTCCATCCTAAGGTTTTTACTAGCTTTTATTGTACTTTAATTGGCTTTTATTTGGAAAGTAGGAAAATACTAACTTTACTAACTTTTACTGGCTTTTCAGCCAACGATCTTTACTAGTAGTGACTTCCTAAATGTTGGTTGTTTGAGTAAATAAAATTAGCAAAGCAGTAACAATCTCTGAACTACAAATGTCTTCAGGAAGCTCGAGTACTTGAGTTATTCTGAAACTATTACTGGTTCTGCTTTCTAAGCATGTTATCTCCTCAAGAAATAAGTAGATTGCGCTCACTTCAGCGTGTGATAGTGACTTAGGTTATGCCCAGAAAATAGTTCTAAAACAAAACTAAATTGCAACTGCCTTTGGTTAATTACGACTAAACTAAATTAGACAACCTGTTGGTTAAATAATGGTTAATTACTTTGTTTCCTACCCCTATATTTTAGGGAAATGTCTAGATGAAGTACTGTTAGAAGGGAGGTCTGATATAACTTCAAGGAACGGTGCCACGGGAACAGACTCTCCAAGAGGTGAGCAAGCAAGTCAGGTTTAAATAGGAGACTGACAAAGTCTGGGGAATTTGAGATCCTCCCACGTTGAATGATACTGTGAACGTAGTAAATATTCTAACTGTTTACTAGCTTCACCTCCTACTTGAAAACATTGGCTAGCGGAGCTACCTTCAGTTCATTAGTGACGTTAGAATCCATGCTACTTACTGGTATGAAATACTTGTTTAGCGATGGTTGTGTGTCATGGACAAAATGGCAGGAGCCCTCAAAGTCCAAAGGATCCAGCAAAATGAATAAACCATTTGAGCATATTTAGGTTTTGTAGTTTAATTTAGCATAATTTTTTAAGTGGCTCCTAATGGTGCCTGGTGATGTTCTGGATTTCAGAGTCATCTGGTTTTCGATCAGTAACCTCTTTTCCTTTGTGTGTGTGTGTTATTTCAGAAAACCATTCTAAAGGAAGTGAAGAAAAAATACCTGAAGATAAAGAACCACTTCATACTGCTGATTCAGTTGCAAAGTGTGTCTGTGTGTGTATTGGAGATGCATTTTCTGGTGTGGTTTCTTACGTTCAAACTCCAGAAAACTTTTTCTGTCAGCAGATGCACAATGGACGTAAGTGACTCATTGTTGAAAACGGGGGCTGTGAGATGTCTAGTAACGTTCGTTTTTGGTTTTTCTTTTTTCCCCTCTTCAGTAGAGGGTAGCTAGGGAGAGATGTTGCTGGTTGCATAATTTGACCTGTAATAATGGTTCTCTAACTTTAGGCCATGCCTCATTAAGGGCTGTGGGGTTGGAGAGGGAAGGTTTCGGCAGTTAGCTGTTAATACCGCTTATTAACTAGTAAGATGATAACCTGTGGGGAGTCTGAGTAATTCGAAGTAGAAAGAAGGTATGGCATGGAGTTTAGCAGTCATGTGAAGTCAATTTGTAGATGTACAAAATGTACAAATTTCTAGATGTTTAAATGTGTTCTTCTAAATGCTCTAGAAACGTGTGTCAGTTTCTCATTACTCTGTTTATTGCTATAGCGCGTTATTTCTTTGACTGGGGAGAAGGGTTTCCTTATAGGCTGAGTGTTTGGAGTGAGCTTGTTTGTATCGTAGTGTGGAAAAAATACCTCAGTATGAGAAGGGAGAGAAGGCAAGATAATGATGCCCAAACCCTGCTTTGGTGTCCTCTGGACTGTAAGTAATGGTTACAATGGATCAGTATGTGCAGTTGGAAGGATTTTTGGCACGTCCCCCACAACGGCCATAAACAGATGTCGGGGGAAGAGTAAGAGTAGAGTAAGCATGTGTGGCGTATCCCCCTAACGCTGTCTAGGCCTGCAGTTATTTTCAGCTAAAAGCGCTTCCCCAGCTGGATGTGGTCAGGTACATTTCATAAGTCAGTGGCTTTCTAGTCTGTGTATTTCTGCAGCTTCCCTTTGAATCCTCAGGAGATTCACAGTACGCCCTGTCCTTTGGCGAGAAGTTATGCTGTTTGAAGAACTGTTGTCTTCTGTTTTCCTTTTTAGCCTGGCTTCACTAGCTCTGTTTTGATTCTTGCTAGCTTTGATTATGTTCACATATTGAAAGAGTCTGTGAATGGTTATCTTTGTGCATTCTCTTTACCACTGTGATTCCTCAGACTTGCGTCTCGACTCTCTTCAGCGTTACAGACTGAAGAGTGCTAGTCTGATCAGGTCAATCCCTGTTTTGAAGTTAGATTCAACATTGCATGAAATAGTATAATTGTGTCTATTCCATTATTTATTCCAGGCTTTAAGCAAAAGAATTGTAGCGTTCGTGCTTTTGTAATAACTATAAGGTTTCCAAAACATGTGTATTTTAACATCAGATCGTCTTGCTGAGCTTCAAGTGTCTCTTGGTGAATATTGTGACAAAATTCCCAGTGTCCCAGATTTCCGTCCTGCTGTTGGAAATGTGTGCTGTGCCCAATTCACAGGTAAAGAGGGGGTGAAAATAAGACTCTTAATTTAAGTCACTTTAATTTATTACCAGATTTAAACAAATTTTAGAATTATTTATGTTTAAAAATATTTCATACAGAGTGTGTTACTTGTATCTAGTTTTAGCTGCGGCTAGAGCTTGGTAGTGATTTTTTTTTTAATTATTAATAGTAAATATAACAGCAATCAAATACTAGTTAAAAAAGACCGTGAAATGGTACCTTCATTGAGCAAACATCTAACACTGGGTTCACTCTTGTATAAAGTAGCTTTCCAGAAGACCGTGAAGAAATTGAATTGCTGTCTATTGCTGAGCACTGTTTCCTGCAACTGGAAATACAGACTTCTAATTCAAAACAAAAAAAAAAAAAAAAACCAAGGGAAGCAGGATTATACATACCTCACATTGTTACTCTGGTAGAATTCATCCTTTCAGTATCTATGTAGCAAAGGCCTCATAGTTCTGTATTTTGTTTGTAACGTAGTTTCCATGTCAAAGTTAACACTGATGTCCAGTGTCTAGAAATCTCATGATACAACTGAGCCTTGCCTAAACATAGGTTAGTATTCTGTGTAAAGCCGTGTTTTGTGCTAGAAATTGATAATATATATCAAAGAAATATCTTTTCTTTATAAGAATGTGAAGTCCAGTTTGCCTGAGTGCAGTAGGATGTAGATGAGTCGTTTTTTTTCCCCTCGTAAGTAAATCTCCTTTTCATTCACGTGTTGCATTAACTTGTTCTTCTAGAGCTTTTCTTCCAGTCAGAAATGTTGCTGCTATGGCCGTGTGCACGCATGTGTGTGATAGATTAGCGTTCCTGCTCACTTGTTGCTTTTCAGCTCCCATGTGGTTTTGCTGCTTTGTAGGAACTACTTGTTGAACTGACAGATAAGCTGAATTAAATACTTCTTTTCTGCCTATGCAGAAAAACCTAGCACAGTCAATGTCCTGTCTTGGCATTTGAGTGGACAATGGTTTCAGGTGCTTAGCCAAGGAATGCCATCAGTTCATTAGTTCAAACTTCTTCATAAACTCGGCAGTCAGCTTGTATTTCTTGAATGTTTTTATTGAATTTAAATTATTAGATCTGTTGTGTGGCTTTTGAATTGTATACCCTTGGGATGTGATGGCTGAGAACCTGCTCATTGTTTAAATGTATTGAACCTAAGTGCTTCATACAAGTGATGTAGTTCTTCCATGCAATATATATTTAAATGAGGGGAAGTGCTATATGGAAAGAAGTGACAGTTTGCAACGCTTAACTCATACAAGGCATGAAAGGGGTAGATGCCATCTTCCGTAAGGGCTCCATGAAGCGTTGTGTGAACCGTACTGCTGCCTCAAGTTTATGTTAAGATTGCCGTTGTGGTTTATAGTAGAATATGCCCAAGAAATAGTTCTGTTCCAAGGAATTAAAAGTAAGTACCGTGAACATCTGTATCTTCCTTTCTAGAAGACAATCTTTGGTATCGTGCTGCCATTCTAGGATACGCTTCTGAAGATACTGTTCTAGTGGGCTATATAGATTATGGTAATTTTGAAGTTCTTCACCTAACTAGACTTCGTCCTATGATTCGGAGATTAATGGACTTTCCAGTTCAAGCTATAAGATGTACTTTGGCAGGTATGAAATAAATAAGCTGTTTCAGACTGGATAGAGGCGGAATAAGTGGGTTTATCCAATTATCACATGCCTCTAGCGTCTTATATTAAAATAAGGGAAAGGGTGGAAATAAGAGCAGGCGTTATTTCCAGAGTTCTTAGTTCTAGCCTTTTACTTCAGAAGAAGACCTACGGCAATGCCTCCCTCATCTGTAGAGATGGAACCAATGCATATGGAACATGACTTAAAGAAATATCCCTTCTGGGGCAAATTATGCTGGTTATAGCTGCTGATGCTTATTTTAAGACTGCAAAAGGTCTAGGTATTGAAATAAAAAAGCAATTAGATGTTTTCTGATTCAAGTCAGGGATTACTGCTGCATAATTACTGCTACATCTTTCTGGAATGCAGCCTGCTTGTGCTGACCAATGACTATAAAGTTATGTTTATAACTTTGCTGAATTTGTTTCCAAAATTAATGTAAACAGTAAAAATATAAGGAGAAAGAAGCGTATAGTTAATGTAGCAGATACCTCACTGACTTGAGAGATCATTAGCATTACTCTGAATATATGTTCAAAACTAGGTTGCATTCTTGAGACCCAAGGGCCAACACTTCTCTAGGCGTTCATAGTAAACTTATTGAATCTGAATTTAATAAACTACTAGCTAGTTGTATATTACCTCTTGTGAGATTCTTACAAAAATCAGATTTTTTTTTAATCTTGTTATAACAAGTCTAAACTGTTTAAATCCTATTATAAGTCTGTATGGGGAGAGGGAAATTCCTTGGTATTTCTGCTGTTTGACCTGTAGCCGAAGTGTTGTTTCACCCCTCTGCACGTTCTCAAAGCCTAGACTGTTCTGAGAATCTTTTTGTACGTTTTTGACTGTTTAGGTGTAAAGCCACTGATGGGAGCCTGGACCTCAGAAGCTATTTCTCTCATGAAGCAACTGGTGCAAGACAAAGTGCTCACAGTAAAAGTAGTTGATAAAAAGAGTAATAGCTCTGTGGTGGAGCTCTTAGATGCATCAGTTACTCCAGTAAAAAATATCTCAAACTGTCTCATAGAAAAAGGCTGTGCAGCTGAGGAGTCAAAGATGTCCTCGCCAGCAATTGAAACGAGTGATGTTGAGGAGGAGGCAAATGGTGAGTACAGCAAGCAAATCCCGCAGTGCTGGCTTTATTTAACCTCCTGCGAGAATAGGTACAAAGTATACAAGTTCTTCCCGGCAAGAACCTTCTGGATTGGATCCTGAAGTCTAGCCTTTGCAACTTTGAAGTCTAGCCCTGGCAACTTTTCTGTGAATAGAAAAAAAAAAAAAAACCTTATAACTGTGCTATATAAATATATAATGTATTATTTGATATATTTTTTATTTACATATATTTTAGAAGAACATATAAATATATATAATTTATATTTAGGTTGCAGTCTCTTTCTTTTAAAAGACTGTACTGGTATTTCTGCTTTCTGCGGATAAAAGTCTCCTAATTTCCAGCTGAAGCAGTACGTGATTGATTTGTACCATCTTGTTCTTACTGTCTTTGTTCCTTAACTAAAATAGTGTTTTACCCTCACTGTGCTATAGTTTATACATGAAGCAGTATACTTATATATTTAATCCTTCAAAAATTGTTGAACTGAAGTAGCCCATAAGACTTCCAAAATAAAGAGACTAATTGCCTCAGTTGCCTCTTTTTTCTTTTTTTTTCTTTTTGCCTTTAGCAACTAAAGCTTCGATCTGACGTTTGCAACTTTGTCAGCTTTCTTTGTATTCTGGGAAGGTTCCCAGCTGCTCTGCTATAAAGCACATTAAGCTCCTCCTTTCCATCCTCTGTGTAGTAAAACTGTATGCTCTTTCCTAATCTCAGTTCTGTATTGTCTATATGTACTGAAAACTGGGGGAAAGTGTGTCAGGACCGTATCCAGGTCCCTTAATTTTGGCCTTGCTCACCAGGTTGTTCATGACTGGGACATGGTTATCCTTTATCTTTGTTCAAAAGGTTAAGGAATCTTGTGTATAACTTAAACCAACAAAAATTACTGTTATTATGTTTATATCCAAACAAATCTTGATCTATGGCCATCATCATGGATTTATGTTTGTACTTTTTAGATTTTTTGATTACTCTTTATCTCTTCCAGTTTCACTCATCGAGTTGGATACAAGTCTTTTCTTTCACGTATCTGCAAGTCTTTCTGCCATGTTTTGAATGCAGTTTATCTTTTGTCTTAAGCCTTTTAAAATTTAGCGCTATGTATTGGAATTTGAACAGGTGCATTTGTCTACCAACTTGCAAAATAATTTTTCATTAACTTGTTTAACTCAAAACTAGTGAAGTTTGTGATTGCTGGGTCCAGTGTTAAGAGCAGATGTTGATTAACTTACTGGAAATTAAGAAGTGATGTATTCTTGGTTTAGGGAACTATTTGGAAGAAATCTTGCCATCACATAGAAGAATAAATTATATTTCACAGTTGTTAAGCATCCTAAAACTTTCTCTAAACTTTGAGCCATCTGTTTGTTTTTCTCGTCAATCTTCCTTCCTTCTGGACTGGTAAAATTGAACTTGGTTTCTACTACTTTGAACTTATTTCTCAATATGCAATGATTGCTCTTTGTCCCTTCTAGTAGGGATCTGACAGTCTTTTACTATATCAAAGACAGTCTTGCATTCTGCTTGGAATAAAGCTATCTGTGAGAGCCAGACTTCTTTACTTTGCCTGTTGGCAATATTCCTTCCTCAAGTAATCTACTATCAGACAATACAGGGCAAATCATCAAGTATCCCAGTGGAGCCATCCCTAAGCTCAAATCTCTTACTTGAGCTTCATTTTCCAGAAAGACACTTAGGACTGTGGAAACACCATCCCTTGGAGATGTTCAAAAGCCATCTGGCAGGGTCCTGCACAGCCTGCTTTAGGTGACCCTGCTTGAGCAGGGGGACTGAATTAGATGATGTCTAAAGGTCCCTTCCAACCTCAGCTCTTCTGCGATTCTGTGACGGGAAAGGTCTACCAGAGTCGAAGAAAGGCCAGCCACTTGGAATTTAAGTTTCAGAAGGACTGACAGAATATCTCTGTGTGCTGCTGCCTGCGACAAACTATAACAAACTTAAGACCTATGACAAATAGAAGAAATTTGGTAATAGGCTAAAGGAGTGAACAAGAGCTTTTTTAGTGTGTCCTAAGTTAATCTTCATATCATATATTCTACAACCTGTGTTATGCAATATAAGAGAATATTGTACATTGGAAACGTCTGCAATCAGTCTTTCTATTAACCTTCCTGTTTTTTTTTCCCTCCTTAGACCACTTCCAGCGCTCTGTGACAGTTATTCCCCTCTTCCCTCTCCTCTGCCCTGTTTCCTAGGAACTAAAATTCCCCAAAGCCCGCCTTCTTCAGATTACTGTCCTCTAGTCTGCATCTCTTTGTGTAATTACTCTTCTCCACCCATCTAAGGTTTGTCCTTATCAGTACTGATCAAACACATTAAGCAACTGGCACGTTTCTCCTACCCCCTTTTAGGCTGCGAAGAGGCTATCACTGGTGATTAGTCTGTTAGATTGTTTGTAACAAGAAGTTGTAGGACATGAAGAATGAGCATTCGGGATGTCTAACTTTCCCCAAATTTCTTGTAATTTCTTTTCTTTCCTCTACTCCCTCTCCCACTATGTCTCTAGAGAATGCAACAAACAAAAGCATTTGGATGTGGAGTAAATTAACTCTTAAACAAACAGTAGATGTGATAGTGTGTACCCTATACAACCCCGGAGAATTCTACTGTCAGATTTCAAATAGCAGTGGTAAGTTTCTTAGCCTTTATCTTCTACGTAGTTACTGTGTTTCCCGATTTCTCATTTATTAATGTCATTTCTAATTTATCACTGTTTCAAGTGAGTTTAGAGCACTAAGGCTTGCCTCTGGGTTTGTGCATCTAAGCATAAAGAGTACAAGTAAAACGCTAAAGAAATTGGGTTATGGTATGTAGTGACTCTTGAGAGTGAATCCTCAAAGTAAGGAGGATAAGCAGTTGAGTAAAATTCAGGGCAATAACATGGAGGAAAGTGAAAACAGCTAACATAAGCTAAGCAGGGATGACTTACAAGGTAGCAAGTAAGAGAAAAAGAAACGTTCCCTGTGCACGTACAGAATTATTGCAGTCCTGTTCTATTACTGTGTTCTGTTCTAATTCAGAAACTTATATACTGACAGACTGGAAAAAGTTCAGAAGAGATTAAAAAAAATTTGAAGGCTGGAAAATACAGCTTCTGAGACTTAACTTTCTCTTGGATAAGCTCAAAATATCTTGTTTCTCTAAATAGAGAGACTTCTGATAGTCACGGGCTTTTTAATCTAGTAGAAAAAGTGTGATGAAATCCAGTGGCTGAAAATGGAAGTGAAATGCATTCAAACTATAGAAACACAGGGCAGATCTTAAAAAGTGAAGGAAATCTATTACCCGACTCTTGCAGGCTAGTGTTGAATCTTCATGGCTTACCGCTTTAAAACGTGTCTGAATGCCTCCCTGAAAGAGGATTTGATACAAAAAGAGCAGGCTGAGGTCCCATTGTCTGTCATGCGTTGGTCAGACTAGATAATCCCTATAAATTTGCCTAGTCTTAACACATTCTTTAGACTATGGAGTGAAAGGTGCTTGTTGAATTAGTATGAAGAATTACTAGTCACTTTGCTATCATATTTATCGGAAAAGCTCAGCTTTCTCACTTCGTGCTAATGAATGTGCCTCATAAGTTGAATGGTTAACTCAGTAGTTCAGAGTTATTTTATGAAATATTAAATTTCACTGAAATCTCTCTAAGTGTCTTACAAGTGAGCTATAAGGCAAGCAGTATTAAGTTTCATTCAGCTTGTTGTATTGATCTTGTCCTTTTATTGTGTTTTTCAGAGTTACTTGCTCTAAACTCACTTAACAAATCATTGTCTGAATACTGTCAAAAAACTCCACCAAGTGTTTTTAACCCTAAGAATGGAGAACCTTGCTGTGCTTTTTTCTCTGGTACGTAAGAAACTAAAATATTGTAGTTTGTATGGGATGAACGTTTAAAAAAAAAAAATTTAGGTGGCTGATAGTTTGTAATGCAGAGAATAACAAAGAAATGGATTTTTTTTTTTCCTCCCAAAAAAATTGCTGGTAAAATTAACTTACTAAATGTGAGAACTTTTTTTTTTTTAAAACTGTCTTAAATCAGCTGATGGTAACTGGTACCGTGCTTTGGTGCAAAACGTTACTTCAGATGGAGCTGTTAAAGTATGCTTTGTAGACTACGGAAATGTTGAGGAAGTACCACTGGATAAAATTCGTCAGATTTCATCTTCATTCCTAAAACTCCCATTTCAAGGAATTAAATGCTGGCTTTCAGGTGCATCTTTTTATGGCTTCTTTCATTATAAAAACTACTGCATTTAGAGATTCCGGGAGGTCAGTATATCTTACATAACTCTGTTGTACGTTAAACATCTTATGTTGCTTCCAGACTCTGGAAATTGTAGGAACCATTGTTTTAGCCTAACTACACAAGAGACTGACATTTAACAGAAAGACGTTTGTTCTTCCCTGAGCTTCTGAAAGTGTTGTGATCTGGCATGGAAGTTACTCACTGATTTACCAGTCAAAAGGAATTTGTAGCTCAGTGCTGCTTCATCTACAGTGCTTACTGGTGTTTGGTTGCTAGGGGGTAGGTGGTTGGATTTTGCGTTTGTGCAACTTGGTGATTTTTCCCAAATTTTTGCAGACAAGGGAGCTTCTGTGTTTTTATGAAACAAGTTGGCCTTTCAGCTTTCTATAAGGCTGTCTCATTTGATTCCTGCAGAGTCTGGCACTGTACAGCTGTTCCTCTGTCTTTTCCATATTTGCTGTCTCTTCCTTTTCAACACCAGATCGCTCAGAATCCTACAGAATTGCTGTTGGACCCTTTTAATGTAGTCTCCTTGGTTTAAAAAAATAAATAAATATGGAAACAGGAAAAAGCTCAAAAATATTCTATCAGGGCATATTCTGCTTTTCTTTTTGACTTTCAAGACAGTTTGGTTTTCTTTTCCTTCGGTAGAAAGATATATATGAAATTGCTTCATAAAAAACACTATAAACACTGTTTGTGCTTAAACACAAGTATAGATTTGGTAGAATGCCATAAAATGTAGGGGAAAAAACCCTTGGGTATTCTGAGGAAATTTTTTATGTTATAGGAAAGAAGGAGGAGGGCAGACAGATTGTCAGGTATGAAACAATGTGTATCCCTTAGGTAATGAAAGTCTTGATGTTGAGTTGTGCTTAAAGCCTACTTTAAGGAAAATACGTAGAATGTGGGGGAAAAGTGTGTAATGTAGGTATTTTAAACAGCTCTTCTATTTCCTAGGTATAAAGCCTGTTAACAGCAAATGGATCCCAGAAGCTACAGCAAGATTTCGTATGTATGCTGCAGGGATAAAGCTTCAAGCCAGAGTAGTTTCCTTTTCCAGAGATGGGGCAGGTGTAGAGCTCATAGACAATTCCACAGGTCGTCCGAAAGTGATCAATGAGATGTTAACTTGTGAACGGTTGGCTGTGAAGGAAGTTTTACAAGATAAAAATAAGTGTCCAAATAAATTTGTTGACAAAAAAGGTAATTAGAATGACAATTTTTAGACTGAACAGGAATTTTCAGCGTTCCAACCTTTAGCCATGGTTCTGCCATTAAACCCTAACTAAAATCAGTAATAAACATGCCTAATTTTGAGTGTATCATGAGTTTTACAGTTAAACATAAGCTGCCCTGCAGGTGGCATTATAGGCAAAAAAAAAAAAAAGTAAAAAATCACTGGATTTGTCTTAAATGAATGCTTTGAGTATATGAGAGTGGAGAGAGATAAATTTGCTACATGACTCAAATTTTCTCTATGTTTACTTACCAGTATCATCTTTTTCTGAAGTCTTTTTTGTATAAACTATTAACATATTAAAAACTAGCTAACAAACAGAAAATTCAGGAAGAGTATCTTGGTTTAGCTTTCTTTTATTGCAGTGAAGACATGCGGATGTCTGTAAAATTCAAAATGATATTCTGTAATAGACACCTATAACCTGTACGTGCTTTGAGAAAAGTGTTACACTGCATTTTGTTGGTCTCTAATTCTATCAGAGTCCTCACTTGGGCAATGGAAGTCAGTAGAATTGGCTGTAGATGAAACCCTATCCGTCTGTGTAACAGAGGTCATAAGCCCAGTCTTGTTCTATGCTGTACCAATTAAAACCAGAGGTAAGAAACAGTGTCCTCTCTTCTTATTAATCAGTAAAAAGTCATTGCTGCAAGCTGGTTAATCAGATGAAAGCCTGTAGTGAACTGAAACATGTGCAAATGTAGCTTGGAAAGTAGGAAAATACTAAAGCAAAAGAGTGGGGGAGAGGGGACTGTGAACCAGGTTAAGAGCAAGAATGCTATTCATTATACCCAAACTTGATTAATCATCACTTTGTCTCAGTAGATCAAGAGACACCACATATGCATTTGGTTGACCTGGAAGACTATTGCAAATCTTGTAACAAGCAGTCCTTTAAACCCAAAGTGGATGAAGCCTGTTGTGCGAAGTTTTCAGGTGAGGGAAATTTTCACTCTTAAATTTCCTTGACCAGTATAAAGCACGTTTGTTCCCCCCCCACCCACACACCCC